TCCGGGTGTCGTTCTATAAGAGGTTTTACGGTATGTCAGTTTTCAATAGGAAAATAAATTATACCATCAACTACGGTAGTGCACTTCATTATCTAAAACTACCCTCCCTGTTTCTTTAAAGCCAATCTGATTGGAATTTGCGATAAAACGTACATATGGAGAAAAACAAAACAATTCAAAGTCGATGGACACGAAAAAATGCGACAAATAAAAAAGATGGATACATGGGAAAATAAGAACAATCACCTAGGCGATAAAAGGGAAAATAACATTAGAACAAAATAAAAATAAAAATGTAAAAAGTGGAGAATGGGACAAGTAACATCACATGTTGAGCAATCGTATGTATTTAATTTGTTTTGCGAAGAGAAAAGGGGTCTTGACTCACTTTCATTCATTCATAGTAACTAATTATTATAGACACGACGCATCACACACTTACACCTCTGGCTTTTCAAATAAATAATTGATCAGTTTGTGAGGGAGAAAAGAAAGACAACTTTTTTTCTATTTTCCTACACTGACATAACTATGAGAAAATGTATTTTGTAATACAGTGGCAAAGAATTACAGTAATTGTCCCAAATTCGATAGAATGGTTCAAGAATTTCGAAATATTGGAATTTCGCAACTTCGAAATGTCCGAATCTCCAAATTTCGAATTCCAGATTTTCGAAAAAATCGAAATCGTAAATCTTAGGATCATTCGAATTTCATCAAAATCGTAAATCTTAGAATCGTTAGAATTTCAGTACTTAAGCATCTCAAAGTTTCAGAATTACAGAGTTGCAGATTTTTAAACTTTCGAAATTTCAAACTTTCGAATTTCAGAACTTTAGAGTATCAGAATATTAAAATTACAGAATTTCAGAATTTAATTTTTAGATTTTTAGTTTTTTGAAATTTCAGAATTTCAGAATCTTATTGGTAGAATCTGAAAATTTCAATATATAAGATTCTTAAAATTTCGAAATTTTAGAATTTCGAGTTTTTAAAATTTTAGAATTTCGAAATTTCCGAATTTTTAGAATTTTAGAAACTCAAAATTTCGAAATCTCAGAATTTCAGAGTTTCAGTATATCAGAATCCCAGAATCTCAGAACTTTAGAACTTTGAAATTTCAGAAGTTTTTAATTTCCAATTTGTAGACTTTCAAAATTGCAGAGTCTCAGATCTTTAGAATCTCAGAGTTTGAGAATCTCAGAACTTTGGAATCTCAGAGTTTTAAAATTTCAAAATGAAAATGTTTTTGAGAATTCTGAAAATATCAGTGATCAGTCTCAGTTACCAGATACTTCCAAAGTTTTCTACCTCATCTCGGGCGTAACTATTCACACCGGTTTTGACACCTCCAAACTATGATTCAGCATCTTTCCGAAGTTTTCAGCGATCCGACTATGGCTCATTTCTAATGTCAAAAAATTAGCTCCAAAAATAACCAGAGTCTAGACTTGAACTTTCCTTCACTTCCTCTTCTTAATTCTTTTCACCTACTTTCCGAATATCAAAATTTTTAGAGTCTGTTACTAAACAACCCACGTGGCTCTCCACTCATCTCTTTTAGGTGTCAAACCAGGAACATTCATTTCCTGTTATTCACGGATGACTGGCGATTCGTTTTGAGAAATATAACGGCAAGAGTCACACACAGACACATATAATATAGTTTGTTTCAATGTTGATACCATGAAAGACATTCTCTGAGTCCCATAAAAAATGTCCGAAAGTCGGTTGGAAGAAAAAACGACCGAATACGAAGAAACTGAAATGTCGGCCGTGTCTAGGACCATATTGAGGATGTGTCGTCGTTTCTCTTTGCTAATAGAATTATACATGATCATAAGGATGTATATCCGGAAAGAGGGATATTTATCTATGTGTTGTGTGGGGTTGTTTTATGTCATATTTTCTCATCAACAACTCCAACGCCTTCTTTCGTCATTGAACGAATAATAGGTCATTTGAATAATTGAGTTTATTGATAAATGAGAAAATGCAGGGGCGTCTGAAGGATTGATAAAAATTGAATATTATAATGCGAAATCTGAAAACAAGTTGGTGAGAAAAATTGCTGACCCTGGCGAAGTAATCTGAATTGGAATTATAATTCTGGTTCGAAAAATCGGAGTTGTGGAAGAGAAACGCAGATGGCGGTGGCCGAAGGTCCCAAAACGACAACTACCGTAACCTAAAATATTTTATTTTCCTTATTTGTTGTCTGGGTTTTTGTGCGTTCCAGTCAATTTTTCTTCACAATCAAAAATTTATGTTTTATTGATTGTGGAAAAATAACAGAAAACTCGACGAAAAAAACACTATATTTGTCGTTGTGGGGCCTTGGGCGACTCTCCCCGGCGTTTCTCATCCTGAGCTTTTGTCAAAGAATATTTATGAAATTTCAACTTTTTTAATCCGGATTATTTTTTTTTCAACATAAAAAAAATGAATCGCAAATAATGAATCGCAAATGAAATCGTTTGAACTGGTGAATGACAAAATTCAGTTGATTTTTCAAAAAATCTATCAGGTCCTTTATTTTTGGGTCAAAATAGACATTTTTTAGCTCATTCTATTTGTCTCCAAATTCTCTACAATCTCTACCTATTTTGAAGAAAATATTTCTGACCCAGAATTTTTTAATGCCAAAAAAGCTGATTTTCCACTGTATCGAGAAAATCGCCAATAAATCAGAAAAATATCAGAAAAACTCGATTTCCAATATTATTCGCCGTGAACCATCAATTTTTTATTCAAATTCTGATTACAGGGATATCACAGAAAAAACAAAGAGCAGATGATTGAATCAAATAAAATCTTGAAGGTCCTCTTCCAGCTGTCGATCGATCTCTTCATCAGTATCCAACTCTTCCTCCTCTTCACCTTTAATTGACTCCTTCTTTTCTTCTTCATCTGGTTTCGATGGCGATGGGTCTTGAGGTGTTACTGAACGACTTTTTATTTCCCCGGGTTCAATCTCTTCCTCATCTTCACTAATGTCCTGAATTCCTTCTACTTCTGGTTCTGCTTCTGGAAAAGCTTCTTCATCATCTTTTATCGTTCCTTCTTCCACATCATCAGCTGGCTTCTCCTCATCCTCTTTAGTGTCTTCCACCATGTCTTCTACCATCTCCTCCTCTTCTTCTTCTTCTTCCGAACTCGACGATTCTTCTAATGTCTCTCCAGCGAGCACAGCCAATAATCGTTTCTCCGACATTCCATCTATCTCTGCCAGAAGCAATTGTTTGATATCTTCTTTTGATTTACCCTGAAAATTTTTTTTCATTTCCGGATTCTGAAAAAGGACTACCCGAAGTATACGTGGCATTAGCACTTCTACAGCCTCCCACTCTACAGAATTCATCGTATGCTCTGCGAGCTGATCAGTGTGATGCACAAAATGGGTTAATGAAGCGAGACGTGGATCTACATCTTTAGTTGGCTCACCCATTGTGACCTGGAAAAAAATTATCCATGGAATGGATTAATGGTGTGCATACAGATTAAACTAGATATAATATAATAGGTTTTAACAATGACAAGCTGTATAAAAAATTTAAGAACAATAAAAATAATTTTTTACTTTTTCAAAAATGGGATGACAATGAGATAGGGAAACAAAAAGGAAAGTTGAGAAGGAACAAACCCATATTAGAATGACAAAAAACGGGCGAAAACAAATCTAGTTTAAAATAAAAGATGGTAGTAAAATGCATTCAAAAGAAATTATAAAGATATGCCTATTGAATTGATATGCTTTGTTTTTTTTCTAATATTACATGATTCAGATAATTTATGTGTTTCTAAGAAAATTGTCGACTTGGAAGTCGTCGTATTGACTCTCATCCCACATGCTCGCCAAATTGATCTCTTCTGAAGGCCCTCCGGATGATGTGGCTCTGAAAAATTTTTATTTTAAAAGGATATTCTAGGTTATTGCTCACTTTTTGCTCTTCTTGACAGCTGGTTCTCCAGAAGTCTCTCCTCTCTTCTTTGTTGGTTCATCTCCATCCAACGTGAACATATTCATTAATTCTCCAGTTTCCATAGTCATCATTGAAGTGTTATCAGCGCCAATTAGAGCTTGAGCTGTATTCAACTTGAACTTCGCTAGACTCATCACTTTTTCTTCTACAGTTCCTTGGGTGATCAGTCGATAAACATTGACATTTCGAGTTTGTCCAAGACGGTGAGCTCGATCAATTGCTTGCAGATCCTTCATTGGATTCCAATCGTGATCCATGAAGATTACTGTATCAGCGCCAGTGAGATTCAAACCAACTCCTCCGACATGAGTAGTCAGAATCAACACTTCAATCGTCTTGTCCTCGTTGAAACGATTTACCATTTTCATTCTATCTCCAACTGGAACATTTCCATCTAGGACTAAATGAGACACAACACTTCCAAATTCTCCACTACGCAAAGCTTCCGAAACCAACTGTGCTGACGTTTTCCATTGACAGAAAATCAATGCTCTGTGTCCTTGACCAACTTCGTTCAGCCCTCCCAACTCGTCAGCTTCTGCCGCGACTTCTTCATCTGGATTTTTGCAAATCTCGCATTCGATAAGCAGCTGTTTCAACGCTTCCATTTTTCCTGATTTTGAAGTCAACGCTTTTTGAAGAATGTCTTGTGGGGCTCCAATCTTCAAAAGCGTGTCATAGACGAGTTTGGTGTGATCCGTAAGCTTTCGCAAAGATATCAAAGTTACAAGACTCGAAATTCCAGTCTTATTCTGAACTTCTTCATACGAAGACGTGCATCGATCCACGATGAATCTATAGACATCCTTCTGATCCTCAGTGAGCTCACATTCGTAATCTTGAACATTCTTATCTGGTAACTCTTTAAGAACTTCCGTCTTCAAACGTCGCAAAACGAATGGAAGAACCAGTTTATGAAGTTGAGTAATGGCAGCTGATCCTGCTTTCAGCTCCGTTTCATTGGCTTTTGGCAGTCTGCATTTCATGATCTTTTTGAGGAATTGACTTCTGAATTGCTTCTCGGTTCCAAGATATCCTGGCATCAACCATGTGAATAGAGACCAAAGATCCGCAGGGCTGAAATGTATTGGTTTAGAGATTGATGAGAAATCCAAAGTACTTACGAATTTTGAACAGGAGTTCCTGACAAGATTAGGCGACTCTTGCAGACTAGCTGACTCGCGAACTTCCATGCTTTTCGTTTTGAGTTTCGCATCACATGACCTTCATCCAAAACAATATAATTCCATACACGATCTCTGCAAAAACAAGAGAAATTGTTCATCTAGGTCATTTTTCTGGTACATACGCCGTATATGCTGACTTCAACTCTTCATATGGAATGACACATAACTCTGCACGCTGACATCTTGTGATATTTTTGACTGCTGGAATTCTTTTTGGGAAAAATCGATTCCATTCAAGACACCAATGGTCTACAAGTGTTCTTGGGCAGACAACCAGCGAGCATTTTTGTTTCTCTTCTAACTGATCCTTATCTATGGACAGAGCAATAGAACACATCGTTTGAAGAGTCTTTCCAAGACCCATGTCATCTGCTAGAATACCATGAAGTCCATAGGTTCTTAAAAACCGAATCCAAGTTATTCCTTCCAATTGATACTCTCGAAGCATGGTGGAGTCAAAACCTCCAGTAATATCCTCTCGAATCACACGTGGCAGACTGCTTGGTGCACCGAGAACATTGATGAAGTTTGAATATTCTTCTCGTTTCGCTTGAAGTTCTGCACTTAATCCATCGATAGTAGAATTAGGATTTTCTAATGTAACCACTGGAATGAGCCTTCGGAATGCTTCTCCAGCAGCATCTCGAACATCTTCACATTGATCAGTGAGCAGTTGAAAAACAGGTGGAGCCAACAGAGTCGCCCATCCATTCAGATAGCATGTTTCCATACTGCAAAGACGGAGAAAAACTTCAACAGCTGCTAATCGAGAGTTGACATTGTTGAGATCGTGAGATAATTGAACAAGTCGGGAGTAGCATTTTGAGAGGGTATCTCCACAGAATGACTTGCAGAATGTTTCGATTGCCTTGGCAAAAGCATATCGAATAGCTGGATCCGTGTTAGGTACGAGTTCAAAAATCTTATCAGTAGACTGTTCGGAGAGTCTCGATCCAACTCGATTCCAAAGACTGTTATGCAGCTCCAAGCGAGTCAAGAATGTCTAAAATAATGGCAATTAGGATCAGGCAAGTAAATCAATCGAAACTCACATTTAGATCGACCGCTTCGCTCAAGTCAAAATGCGAGTAAAATTCAGCAAGTTGGGTAGCATTGAACTGACAGAGAATCTGAAATTAATTATAGAAGTTTTAATCTTCGATGTATGATTTTTACAGTCAACACGAGCTCTGCATTCCGGCTCTCTGCTGATACAGTTCCAACGTTGTCTTCAAATCCATCTTCTGTTTCCTTTCCCCATATCCTTCGCATACTAATAATAGACGTTTGACTTCCAGGACTTGCCATTCCAACTTTTGGTACTCTTACTGAGCACCCAGAGAACGATTCAAATGCTTTCGCAAGCACTTTCACATAAGGCCGAGGAGTACGCGGCCAACTGAACATCACAAGAAGAGGGACGGCGCCACGGAACACTTCTGAAGCCATCGCATCGTTTTCCTCTGTTTGCATAGTTTCTACGATTGGACGAATCTGTGGAGTCAACTTTTCTGGAGCACTTCCAAGATAAAAAAGGGCAGAGGAGAGAAGAGCGTTAATTCGGCTGAAAAATGTATTTTAATTGAAATTTCTGATCTTCTGCAATTCAAACAGCTTACATTCCATTAGATTTGATATTCATCTTGGCATTCTCAATAGATCTACATAATGTATTATATCTTGTATCTATTGCTTCTCGTTGCTTATCGGTTTTCAAAGCTAGGCGAACTGTAGAATACGCTGCTTTGCTCACGTCTTCTGGAGATCCGTTCTCAGCACTATTACGATCGAATCCTCGCACAACGCAGTATTCGATGAACTCGTTACAATCTTTGGTCAAACCCATCACAATAGTCGTCATTTCATCGTATTGTTTTCCGGGACCTCTTACTATCGAATCAGCCAACTGGATGATTGTCATTGGTGGTGGTTTCTCAGTGATTTTCGCATTTAGATTTGCTCGGTAAAGAGCCGCCCATTCGTTGGCAACAATTGAAACTCCAAGATTATGCATTATACTTTTCGATTGGAAGAATGGAATAAAGAGTAATTGTACTGCTACATCTCTGAAAAGATGATCTATTTAGAATAATTACAAATTGAATAAATTCGTACACTTTCTGCCCTTGAATCTCTGCTTCTGATTCATAAAGAGCTTCTAGAATTATCGCGAGGAATTTGGCACAAAGAATCTTTCGAGTCAGATACACCTTGTCCTTCTCTTTCTCTCCAAGAAACCTTATTTCTTCTGAACCCATCAATTCTGTCTGATTCTTCTTATCACTGGATATTCCATCAACATCGCAAGCAAAAACATCGATTTGTGGGTTCCGATGATCCAGAAGAAGACACCCGATCCAGTTGCCAATCTTCTGACTCACTTCACCTTTTTCTATTAGAATGCTTCTGAAAACAAAATCATTGTGTTAATTTAATTCCAATCCGTAGAAAACGGTCAAACTCACTGATAAGTACGGAAAACTTTTCCAAAAGTGAGGAAAGTCTTCTCCAAAAATGCGAGCGAATCAGAGGGCGGAGAAAACAGAAGAATCCGATAGAGCTGTTTTATAATGATGAAAACGTCTTCTGCAGTCAATTTCCCATTCTGTGGTCTATCAATATCTGCGTCAAGTAGCTGAACAATCTTCTCACATCTAACCGGAAAGGCAGCATCTATAATCGAGCAGATCGTCAGCAAGCTTTGTCGGTTGATTCCCAATTCCTGATTCCATCGTAACCACAACTCCACAATTTCTAATAAATCTATACAAAGTGCGTCGAGACCAGCTCGCAATTGTTCTTTGGATGCTTCTAAATCCAGTAACTTCCATACATGGTTCATCACTTTCTCAACCAAATGACTCATTTCTTCTTGGGGAATTTCTTTGTTGGACAATATAGAAGCAAGGGTTTTAACAGCACATCCAGTGACATCATCAACTGGGTCATCTAATGATTGTATAACTAGGTTGAAACATCTATCGAACGTCTTCTGTTGTGCACTGTCGTTGCTTCTAGCAATTGCAAAATAGTATTTGAGAATTAAAAGTCCAGATTGACGAATATTCCAATTATTGTCTCCAGGTGTACTGACCATTTGCACTACGATTTCTAGCACTACTTCTCGCCGTTTTTCGTTTGTATTTCGGAGCATATGAACTAGAGCTTGAGCACATTGCTCTCTGACTGGTGCTGTCGCATTTCTCCCAGAGATGAAGTCGTTGAACTTGTCGAGAATCAAAACGTGGATGAGCAGATAGAGAATTGAGTCAATTAGCTCGTAGGATAACCTGAAATTATGAATTTTACTAATATTAATGTTCAAATAGTGTCCTAGTACCTATTATAAGAAGTGGTGGCTATTTGACAGATAGCAATTGCTCCTCCATGACGGGCGTACCATTGTTGCTCAGCAACCAAATTTATAAACTCTCTTAACACTCTCCATAGTCTTTTTTGTCTCTCTACATCATCATCCACGTCGTCGTTATTCACATCTAGATCTTCTGTTTTTGCTACTTGTGCCAATTCTTGACTAGTAGATGGTTGTTCTGTTTCCATCGATACTCCTTCGTGCAGGAATTCATCGTCGCTTAGAAATCTTTGTGAGCTGATTCCCGTTACAAGATTATACTCCAGATGCTGATCCACTATTTCTCTTTGCTTTTGTTGATCTCTTCTTTCTTCTTTTGCTGATTTTTTCAAAGATTTCTCGTCGTCACTGAGAAGTGCTTTGAAACTTCGTTGTACATTTAATACGACGATGTTTTTGATTCTTTCGGAAATCGAAGTGTCTTCTTGATTTCTATCAAAGTCCGGAACATTGATAAGTATCGCTTGTAGAGCTTTTCCAGCAGACACTCTTGTTTCCCAAGTTTGAGAAATTGCATGCTTTTTAAGACTCTGAAACTATTGACATATTTAGAATTCGATATAGTTTTCAGCCTCACATTTTTCACGTCTTCATTAAAAATAGATAACTTTCCATATGCAACAGCCGCTTCGTTTCGAACATTTGGATTCTTGGCCTCGAGCAGCGGATCGAGCTGTAGAAGACGTGCCGAAGTGTCCGCGCTCATAAGACACTGAAATTAATGAAAATTAACATAATTGATATGAGAAAAGTTGCGAAAGAAATAGTTTGCTCGAAAAAGAAAATTATTGAATTTCGAGCCGGAAAATGGAGCTTTAGAGGGTGTGGGGAGACCCCACAAATCGGATAAGTGTTGGCATCTTCGCCCTACTGCACTATTCAAAATGGAGCGAAGCTTAAGGGATTCAAAATGTTTATCTCCAGAAGGTGACACAACGCCTTCAGAAGCTTCTTGTTAGAAGAAATTTCATCTTTAGAGATTCAGAGGATCGCTGAATTGTTTTTATATACACTGGCCTTGTGTGAAAATCAATATTTTCGGTTTTTGAGAAAACATATTCAAGTATCGTTTCTTTCTTTTTCGACGAATTTTCTCTCTTCATCGTCGCAGACATCGTTCAGAAATATGAAATGAAGTCAACTCTAGAATTTTAGAAGACAAATTCAAATACACTTTTCTGCTATCCATTTTTATAAGAAGTGAGAGAACGGGTACAATATAACGGGGAGAAAAAAAGTTGCCTTTCAGTTGCCATACGAAAAAATTTGACGATTTTTTGGGGTGATCAGTGGGCAGTATACTTTTGGAAGGGGGTGATTTTATTGACATGAGAGAAATTTATAGAAAAGATAGACGGTGGATAACAGAATACAGATGGGACAGAAATGGGCGTGGATCGCCGAGTTAATAATAACTTATTGGATTTGGATTCCAGAGAGTTCAATGTCTCCAGAGATCTGGAGTCCAGCGATGTCGTTTGGATCAGCTCGGTGAGCGAACGAGATGAAGCGCTCTCCGTTGACGAACACCTGGAAGGCGTAGTCCTCGTTCGTGATGACAAGGTCGAATCCGACTCCCTTCTCGAATGGCATCTTGCCCTCGCGCTCCTCATTTCCCCACTCGTTGGCGGCGAGAGCGTTGCGGATGACGTGCTGAAAAAAGTTGAAAATTAAAAAGAAGGGTTTCCCAGTTTTCTTTTTGCTATTGCAGTTGATCTACAGACATACACACTGCGCTTTGTGTCATAAAAAATGTTTGTAAAAGAGCCATATTTGCCCTTTAGTTCTCGACGTAGCAAACAGAACATTTTCGCCTTTCCCTTCTTCCTATTTTTGTTCTCTTCTTACCTTCTCGTCGAAACGTGGGTTGAAGTGGAACGAGATGTCTCCGTTCTTGCGGAGAAGGTTGACGTGGAAGCGCTTGGCCTTCTTCTCGACGGTTCCGAAGACGAGAAGGCTCTTTCCAACTGGAAGTCCGTTGGCGAGTCCACTCTCGTATGGAACTGGGTAGTACTTTCCTCCCCAGTGAACGTGGTTCAAGTAGAGGTCTCCATCAATGGAGAGATGAGAGATGGAGGAAAGTGGAAGACGGTGCTCGTAGTCCTTGAACTCCTTGTGGTCAACGATGATCTGGACAAATGTAGAAGATTACTTCTGTAACTCAGTAGATAGTGGATTTACCTGGAAGCGGTCATCATGAGCACGGATGCGGATGTCGAAGGAGTCTCCCTTCTTGATTGGGTTGGACTTGCGCTCTTCCTTTCCCCACTCTCCGTTGGAGAACGAGTTGAGGACAATCTTTCCCTCGTCGAAGCGAACGGAGACGTGGAGTGGCACGTCGTTTCCGGAGAAGTCAGCGGTCTTCGAGTGGAGATTGATGGTGAAGCGTTGGGACTCATCGATGGTGGATCCCTTGACGATCAAGGTTTGTCCTGGCTCGAACTTCTCCTGGAGCACGGAGCGGTATGGGACTGGCTGAAAATCAGAAATGTGAATTAGAAGAAAAGGGAAAGCGCAGCGCAACCATTATGCCCTCTCCTTCAATGTGCCATTCTAGAATGTTGAGCAGGGTGATCATGTAGGAATATACGAGCTTTATGTGGGTGTGGGACGCTCTTTGCGTGTTACAAACCACTGGGGTGAACAGAATAAGCGAGCAAGAAAAAGAGCAGCGACCCAAGAAAACGGAAGAGTCGTTATCCAATCTATGCAACCAATCTTCGCGCTCTCTCCCGAAAAAGCACAACAATTTTCAAACAGCTGACGACCACGTCTCCCATTTGGTTGTTTTTTGTTGTTGGTGTTGTTATATGGTAGCGGATGGATTCTTTTTTATTATTTTTTGTGACTGCTCCAATTGTGATAATGGACAAGTCAAACCGACAAAAGGTGTGGGCGAGCATTCAGATAACGATAGGAATGCGTCACTTAGATACATAAAGGATTCAAATGGAATGCTAGCTGGTGCGGATATTTTTGGAGCTCTAGCTGGCGGTTTTTTTCAGAAGTTCGGAATTTTTTCTTAGTTGGAATAATGATGTCTGATGGAAGTGAAATCGTTTCTGATCTGTGAGGATCATTCTAAAGGAATATTTCAAAGTCTAGGAGCTTCAAATAACTTTCCAGAAAGTTTAGAACCCGCAACCGTACCTTCTCAGTTTCGTACCAACGGAGGAATTGTGGAGTCGACATGGCGATGAAGTGGGGGGACTGAGCTGATTTCTAATCAGAGAGGAAAATTTAGATGATCGTTCAGGACGAGTGTCAAACGGGAGACTGACTGTCCCTGTAAACAGTTCCAACACAAGCTGAGCGAGAGTGAGAGAGAACTAGACACAACTACAGTCATAATATTCGCAAGACCCGCCCACTTTTGCGGGAAAGAGCGAAGCATCCATGGAGGTCTGCGACATGAGAATGTTTCTTTTTGTGCACCACCCTGGGTCTCCGACCATCTCTCCACTATCTAAACAACGTCTTCCAGTGATTCATCGGTGTTGCGCGGAACGGACCGAACGAAAAGAACGTTCTGGAGGGATCGATCGATCAGTAGGAGTAGAACATCAAGTGATTTGAAACTGTGATTTGTAAAACACAAATATTCGGCTTCGAAATGCATGGAAACCTTCCGTTTCCATTGCTCAATATTTGGCGTCTTCGCATTACTGTTTACCGCCTCTGGCGTCACGTGCACTTCAAAGGCACGAATTTCGTTTGGGAAATGACCCGAAATACACTTCAAACAAACGCCAGGTGTTGCGATATTAGTTTCTGCTGTCCTTCACAGTACTGCCACGTGTCTTTCAGGGTGAGGGATCATTCGTTCAGCTAGCTGTATAGCTTCCCACGGTTGCCACATTGATTGCTTTCCAAGTCAAATTTCCATGTTGTTGTTGTTGTTCTTTTGGTACTCGATGGACGCTCAAAAGTGACAAAGAAACGAGGGGGAGAAGATTGTATTAAAATTTGAAGATGAATTCAACCGAAGAAGAGAAGACGTGTCGGAGGAGAATTGAGGCAGAAAAGGGTTTAGTGAGGGAAAAAACTGCAACTGGAAATGCCTGGAATTCCTGACGAACCTAAATTCCGAGAAGATGTGAAACCTTCTCTACCCTATTTGTCTCCTAGCCAGTGAACAACTAAACACAGCTTCGCGTATAATCTCTGATCTCTTGCTTCTCGGAGCTTTATGTACATAAACAATACTGTTTTTTGTTTCGCTAGAAACCGCGATCTTTCTGATGATTCAATTTAGTTGTCCAAAGATGACATTTAGAAATGTCTTACTGAAAATCTTTAGAAAGTTTCATTTTCTCTTTTTACGGTCGGTATAACTTTCTGATTCACTCTCCTACTGTCAGTGTTGCATCATCCCCTTTTCTTCTGCTTCTTTTTAGAAGACTGTGGGCGGGGTAAACAAAAATATTGATACGGTTTCTCTTGTCTGACTCATCACATCTCTTTTCTTTCGTTTTTTGTTCTTTCGCGCTGCACTGCACACCATGGGTTCTCCGTCAAACTCACGTAGGACTTTGGCTCTTCGGCGGACATTGTCAGGTCTTTTGGAAGCGGTTGACGGTTCCTGAAATATCAATAGATTAGCAACGTCTTCAAAGCGGTGTTGATTGATATTTAGAAGAAGTGCGAGAAATTTCCAACGACGGCGATAACGATGAAGAAGGCGACAATGGCAATAAAAGCGCGGGGACAACGGAGCGATGTATGAAGATTGGAGGGCGAGAGAGATGCGAGAGTGAAAGAACTGCGTTTTGTAAATAAAGTGTTAGAGACAACAGACATGTAAACAAGAGACAAAAGAGCACTGAAGATGTGGGGGAAGCAGGAATTGGAGGAGAGGTCCTGGAGGAGAAACCATGGTGATAAAAATGGGAAATGCGAGAGGAGGTGGAGTCTTGACGATTTGTTTATGAGGTGACACATAATGGAAAAAAGAAAAGGAATTTAATGCATTTGCATATTTCATCTTGATGGATTTTATGAGGTACTGTAGGCATAAAATGATTGTGTCAATATTAGAAGAATGGTTTGGAAGGGGGATGGGGGTGTTGGATGGTTCTGGAAACAGTATGAGCAGTTGGAATAATGTACAGAAATTCGTAAAACTGAGGAACATTTTCAAGATACTGAACACAGTCGAAACTTTGAAACTCTAGCCAACGTCTTTTTTTTTTGTGAAACTCAATACAACGTTTCCTTCTCGCTAACCTAATCGAAACGGGGTGTCCTAGGGCGAAACAAAAGAAGCCAATGAGTTGAGTTTCCTCTACTTCGACAGAGAAAAAGAAGAAGGACAAGAGTGTCAGTGTTCCTACGCTCTGTCCCTTTTTACTCAAGTGCAGATGTTTGTTACTTTCGTCACATAAATAGAAGAAGGACATGTGGAATCCATATGTTGCTTTTTGCTTCAAAAATGTTGTTAGAAGATACACACCACACCCAAATTTCGATTCATTTCACTCTCTGTTGTGTATGTGTATTTCGAAACAAGTTGGCTAAAGCGTTTCAAACATCAAAAATGGATGCGAATAAGTGTGTCGCGCGTGTGCGCGAGAGTGAGTATCGAGTGAAATGTGGCGAGGAAATCCGCTCGCAGTCACAATTATACTTTTGGAATTGAAAAAGTTCGAGTATGTTCCCTCTGGAAAACCTGACGAACAAGGGATCACAATGTTAACTGAAAGTAACACAGGCGGTCAAAAGATAGCGGGAAAGGGTCTTTTCTGAAGTGTTCTCCATCTCTTTTATCGTCGAATCATGGGGGCGGCGCTGAACTGTTTCTCTCGACGTCTTATTTTTCTTTTTTCTGTGGCATCTCTATCTCCACCTCTTTCCAATGCCTTTGTCGCATTTTATTTGCTGACGAATCTGATGACTTATAGTACTAGTATCGGGTAATATTGAGAGAAAGAAGGAGCATTGTTTAACGAAATTTGTACGATTTTTTTTTGTTGATGCCACAATTTTAATTCGATGGCGCTACAAAGGCCGAGAGAAATCGAATTGAAAAATATTCGAAATGGGGATATGAGATGAAAACAAAAACAAGTGGAGGAAAAAAGGAGGGGGAATTTCTATACTAAATATGAAGAAAAAGAGCGGGAAAATGTCAAGATGAGAATTCTGGCTGCTGATAAATGTCACTGATAACAACTTCTCGGTATTTACACCGAGAATTTGTTTATACTAGGAAGGAATCGTTTCTGGAATTCCAGATTGCCAGAATCGTAGAGACATGGAACATTTTATACTTCTCTTTCAGATGTAAACAACCAACAGCTGACCGGAAAGATCACCGTGGTCTTGCAGATAATGAAACAACATGTTTCGAATGATTTCGAAGCCTACGGTGTCAACACAGTGCTTTTGTCGTATGAGAATATGTTACAGTAATGTATCGTAGAATGATAGGAGGTTAAAAACAGGGAAAATTTTCGGGGTTGACCGCAACAAGGGAACGGAGGGTGCCAAATTTTTACCCACACTACTCACAAACAGCAAGAAGGTAGATAGAAAAGCGATACGAGAAGTGTGAGAGAAAGAAGAAAAGGTCGTCGAAACGTAGGAGACATTTTGTTTACGCTATCCTTCTCTCGCCACCCACTACTGCCTTCTTCTTCAGACCGCTGTTTCAAATCTATGTCGGACTTGTGGCGATGATTGATTAGCAGGAAGAATGAGCTACAACGAAGTACTCTTGCAATCTTACGGATCGAATGACAATTTTCTATTCACGCGCCTCGCTGCGAAGTCGGTCGAAATTTGGAGTAAATTGCGTGCAATTGGAGGCGACTGCTGGCTCGCAAGCCATCTAACTGCCATGCCGAGTGCGTTGTTTATCGGCGCCGCCTGGGAGAGGGCGGAGTTTTACGATGGCCTGTGTTTGTTGGTAACGGAGATTTGCTACCGAAAAGTGAGACTTTTTCTGCTCTAAGACGTCGACAGGAGTAGAGAAAAAATGTTGCGTGAAGGACGTCTTCGTCTTCGATTCAACCTTGCAACTGCCCAAAGACATTGGTTTAATTGGATTCGCTTCTATGGTTCTTCACGAATGGCCTGAAGGAGTTTGGAAGGTTCTTCTTGCATCGTACATTTCTCTCAGAACGGAAACAGATTGATGAGATGAGATTCTATGATTAGGGAAGGGTTGCGCGCAAGGGCATGTGATGAGTTAATCAGGAATTTTGGGAGAAAAGAAGTAAAAGAACCGAAAATGTGAAAAAGTGAGAAGAAAAACGAGAAATTTTGAAGGCGAGAAAGTGTTGACAAACATGTCATAAACAAGAGACGCAGAGAAATAGACAGACTACGACACTCCGCTCGTCTCTCGTAAATCCACACCACTTTCACCTCAGCAAACTGTGGCGGTGGATCCG